CCCCAAAACCCCAAAACCCCAAAACCCCAAAACCCCAAGTGGGAAATATATTATTGAGAATAATCGATTATGGAACAAATGAATTTTCAGCAAGAGCCATTAAAGAATACTTTTCACAAGCCTAGCTTGGAGAAACCAGTTAAAAGCCTCAGTGAAGACCAAAAGGGATTTGCCGATAGGTGCAGAATGCTGATGGTCCCTAAACACTGCTTCAATCTTGAAATGCTTTCTCTTGATGCTGATATGTCTGAAATATCAGATGAGACCACTCCTAACCTAGTCAAGGGGTATAATACCTGTTCGAGCCAGAGGCCTAATAAGCTAGTCTCTGATAAAGGCCATGTTAGAGATTTCATGAATTTCCGAGCGGAAATGAAGAAGGTTCCGGATCTCACAGTTTCAAGAAGGCTATTTAAGCAAAAAGGTAATTTTAATACTCTATACAAAGATTTCCGCTGGTCTCGACTGTGTTAGTGGGCTTATTGCTAAATTTAAGGCTCTGTATATATTAAAACTAGTACCCAATCAGTTAACGTTTTGAATCTAATAAAAATAGCTGACATCCAGTGTATTGAGCCTAATTTTTTAGGAATAATAAAATTTGAGGGTACTCTAGTAAAGAGTTGTATAATCTAGCTAATTTGAACAAAGAAATCTTCTCATTTTTTCAGGCTAGAGTTTTGATAACTGAAAGCGACAATTTTTGCATTTCTCAATTTACTTAAAAAGTTTATTAAGACTCGCTTGGGTAAAATTTTGGTAATACTCCTATGCAGTGAGTGATAAATTTTGTATAGTCTATAAATCAGCGATTATTCCGAATAAGGAGTTGAAAAAACATCATGAATACTTGTGAAATTCTGAGTCCCAGAAAGTCAATATGGATTTCTTAAAGCCAAAAATGACTTTAAAATCTCCTGAAGGGAAAATGAACTCATGGCTGGAAGAAAGAACTCAAAAGGACCAGAAGTTGGCATCAAACTCTTCAAAGGCAACAAAGATGACTCTGTTTCAGAGTAGAAGAGGAAGGGCTTATCTTCAGTCCAGATCAGTGACTAGGAAGGTTTCATCGTCGAAAATTCTCCATTTGTTAAAGAGTACTCCTAATAATTAAGGAAGGTTAATAATTATTTCATGATTCTTTTATTAATTTGTTGTTCCTAGTTTTCCTTCATATGTTAATAAGCAAAGATATTTTATAAATAGTATTCCTTATCCATCTTTTAATAATTGAGCATCAGTATTGGAGTTCCACTGGTGCTAAATCATATCTGAAATCCATAAAAATATGGCTTATCCAGGATTCGCCATTAGGTGACCTGGTCTATTCTTTTCTGTTGGTCCATCAAGTGAACCTATCATATCTGGGAATAAAGTGACATCAGGGAGTTCCTACAGTTTGGAGGAAAGGCATATCGTATTAGGGTTATATTCTCGTATTATCTCCATACTATGCGCCACTCTAAGCTACCTCGTTATCTCCTGGTTGAATTTTTATTTATTTGCCAAGTGGATAGGAGCAACCGAGGAAGCTATCGGTTGCAGGGTCCTCATCGATATTATTTAGATATTTTCCTTTGAACTGCTAAGATGACTATCTTTTTTCTTCGCTGTAGGAATATAGGTTTACTAGTATATGACAAAATATTGCTCATTTCTGTATTATTAATATCTAAAATAAAGCAGCCTGTAAAAAAATAGCAAAGATTTTAAGTTAACCAAAAATTGTCTAAATAAGTTTTGGCTTACAACTTAGCCTATAAGCTTCATTGGGCTACTTTAGGGGTGTATTTGCTATGCTTACCACCAGTAAATTTTACGATAAAGAAATCATTAGAAGTATTTCTTTATCTTAATAAGCATGTGTTATCACAGAGGGAAAATACATCCCTGAAAATTATATGTCTCTTAGCTTACTCTAATGTCCTGTTTCTCAGTAATTCAGAGAGATTTGTCTATTCTGCTTTCGCTTAGCAACATATCTGACAAAATTTGAATGAGTCAGTGTTAGTAATTTATTCAGGATTAATTTTATATTATTGCATGATTTGGTGATTTAACTGAGTTATAGATCCTTCCTTTGTCATATACAAGGGAATAAGACCTCTTGGTATCTCTTTTAATGGTTTTAGGGTGGTTAGATTGAATCAGAAGTGGAGCTTGATATATTTATATCACTTTTGTATGATTAGCAGCATATCTTACTTGAAGAATTTTTTCCATATTTCATAAACCTAAAATTTTACGAGTATCGGCAAAATTTTGAGTAGAGCGAATTCACCTATAAGCAAATAATTAGGGACTTGATTGCAATAAAATTGGTTTCTTTGAAGAGGTAATTGCCTTAGCAACATATTGCTTTCTATTAAACTTTTCCCTATTTTGTTTGCTAAGAGTAGCACTTGGTCTTTCACATTGCTAGTAAATGTTAAATTTTAGGAATTTTAAGATATGTTAAATTATTATTTTAGAAGACCCAGATTATGAAATTTTTGAGCAGATTACATCTCTTGCTTTAGTAAAGTTGACTGGTCTAGCCCTACTTTAAATCTTCAGACTTTATTTGATGGTTGTAAACTACATTTGTGAATTCGTGGTAAATTGTGGTAATACTATTGTTTTTGAACAAAGTTCTCATTCTGGGGCTAGGGAAAATTTACTTAGATTTCATGTGTTTTTTCTTAATTTTTTAACTTTGTTTAAACAATGCATAAAACTAGGCAATATTCAAATTTTTAATTTTTATTAATGAACAATATAGGAGAATTTTAAGCAAATGAACTTATATCTAAAAGCCAAAGAATAATTTGGATGTCAAAATTTTTTCTATCTCTACTACCTTACTCAATAATAGCTATTTCTAAACCAATATTGAACGCTTCTACCAAATTTTCAATGGGAAATCTCCGTGGGGTTTTGGGGTTTTGGGGTTTTGGGGTTTTGGGG